AGGAGGAGGAGGAGGAGGAGGAGGAGGAGGAGAAGAAGAAGAAGAAGAAGAAGAAGAAGAAGAAGAAGAAGAAGAAAAGCATTGTGGTGTTAAAAAGGGCTTTATGAGGCAGCCCAGTGGTGCACGCCTTTAATCCCAGCACTGAGGGAGGCAGAGAAGGTAGATCTCTGATAGTTAGAGGACAGCCTGGTCTCCAAAGTGTGTTCCAGGACATCTAGGGCTGTTAAACAGAAAACCTCTGATTGGAAAAACCAATCCCCATGCCCCTGCCCCCAAAAAGGCTTTATGGTTGTTAGAGTTCAGAGGAGTGACTAGATCTGTGCATATACTCATACATGGTCAGGTTAGGGCTGCTTAGCATGCATTCATGAAACTTGGCCAATGTTGTTCTGGCCAGAGGTATAACAGTACTCTAATTGTAAGTTGTTACACAGTTTACTTGCTCCATACATAAGGCAGGGACATAGTTTGCTTATTGTTGTGTCCCAAGTATCTAGCACAGTGATATTCCACAACTTTAGATACAGTGTCAATGATTAGTTTTACTGTATTTACAATGTGACCTATCATGTATGGAGACTGCTTTTTGCATGCCTCCTTCATTTGAGCCTCAGGCCAATTCTACTGTTCTCTCTACTTTATGTGTAATAGAATTAAGATGTATTATTTGTAGTCAAAGAAGCACATTAAATGATGGAGCTAAGTTTTTTTTTCCTTTTTAAGAAACGGTATCGTACTGTGTGGCTCAGGTTCACTTTGAACATTCCTTTTGCCTCAGCCTCCTGATATTGAGATTCCATTTGTAAGCCAGCCAACACTAGTACTTAGTGATTGAATTCTAGGTTTCTTACCCTAGGACTAGTGCTACTTATGAGCAGAAAAAGATGTTATATGATTCTAAATTTCAAAAGATTAGATTGCTTTTGTTTTTCTAAAATGAATTAAAAATTTGTGATGAATTCAGTTATCAATATCTTTTTTTTTTGTGTGTTTTTTTTTTTTTTTTGATATATATTTTTTATTTTACAATACCATTCAGTTCTACATATCAGCCATGGGTTCCCCTATTCTCCCCCCTCCCACGC